TTAACAAACCTGGCAAGGAAGGTCGTAAAATGGGACAAAAATTCCGTTAATGAATTTTTGTCCCATTTTACTTGGCCAAGAAAATTTTGGGCTTGGTTGGTTACAGTCATAAATTGAGGATTACCTGTAGATGGACACAGCGGTCGTCGTTGACCTTGTGGCAGTAAACTCAAACCTCTGGTTATTGTTTAATCCAAAGAAGCGATATAACACGGGTGTGTTTCCTTTGTGGATGCTTTTTGGAAACCAGGAAGAACCTTTAAAAAAAATCAACATCACAGGATTGGAAAAATGTCTCTGTTTCCTCTCTTTGTAAGTGCTTTTGTGGGGGTGGGCAGGGAACTAATTTAGAGAATAGGAAGGAGGAAATGGATTCATAATAGATCAGCGTATTTGCTCTAGAAAGCTCTCTTGCAGGCGTAATTAACTGTACCATTTGAAATGTGGTAATTATGCATTAAAACCACAAAAGAAAGGAAAATAGGTGCTTAACTATTTGTTTCTATTAGTTAAATCTCCCATTTATCTTCTCTTCCCCTCCCCCCCATTGTTATTGCTGCAATGTTGGGCCTCCCAAATTAGATTAATTCAAACAGTGATTTATTTCGTTATGTATATGTGGGGGGGGGGAAGCTAATTCTCCCTTCCGTGCACAACCATTTCCTAATGCAGGTTTTTCCGAAAGTGAGTTTTTCTGCAGTTCCTTTTACTGCCTGTTAAATTTTTAGCACATGCCGGTTTTTTTATCATTCCCAATCTCGGAGCGCTTCCCTCTTCTCCTCCCCCCCTCCCTCTTCCCTCCCTATCTTTTCACAAACCACTGAGCCCAAGACTTTGAGTAATGCTCAACTCTGCCTGAGGTGCTTTCCTACTCATAGCCCCCATGCAAACGATAAATCGGTAAGCAAACTGCAGCGTGACAGGTGTATAATTGTGCAGAGCCTACGTGGTTTTTACCCGTTGTTTGTTATTTCAAGATAGATTTGCAGTTAAAAAGACATCCCAAGGATGAACATTGGTGTCGGTTCTTTGAATAGAATAGAATTCTTTATTGGCCAAGTGTGATTGGACACACAAGGAATTTGTCTTTGGTGCAAATGGTCTCAGTGTACATAAAAGAAAAGATACATTCGTCAAGAATCATAAGGTGCAACACTTAATGATAGTCATAGAGAACAAATAAGCAATCGAATCATACTAGGAAGCAATATAAATCGTAAGGATACAAGCAACAAAATTACAGTCATACAGTCATAAGTGGAAGGAGATGGGTGATAGGAATGATGAGAAGATTAATAGTAGTGCAGTCTTAGTAAATAGTTTGACAGTGTTGTGGGAATTATTTGTTTAGCGGAGTGATGGCGTTTGGGAAAAAACTGTCCTTGTGTCTAGTTGTTCTGGTGTGCAGTGCTCTATAGCGTCGTTTTGAGGATAGGAGTTGAAACAGTTTATGTCCAGGATGCGAGGAGTCTGTAGATATTTTCCCAGCCCTCTTTTTGACTCCTGCAGTATACAGGTCCTCAATGGAAGGCAGGTTGGTAGCCATTGTTTTTTCTGCAGTTCTAATGATCCTCTGAAGTCTGTGACTGTCTTGTTGGGTTGCAGAACCAAACCAGACAGTTATAGAGGTGCAGATGACAGAATCAATAATTCCTCTGAATTGTATTGTAGGCATCTGTCATCTGTAGGCAAATATTGTCCGGGACTATCAAAAAATAAATCATTGCCAATATTTCTCTCTGGGTGTCTTCTGCTCAGTAGGTAATCGACATACAGGTAATCCTCGATTTAACAACCATTAGTTTAGGGCAGAGGTGGGATTTACTTACCTTCCCTACCGGTTCGCAAATGTGAGCGCATGCCTTCCACGCATACTCTGCCTTCTGCGCATGCTCTTTGCAAGCACGCGCGCCTCCCACGCATGAGCCCAGCCTCGAAAACGTGGCAAAATAGGATGTCATTACATCCAGGCGGGTGGGCACGGCCTAGCGCAACTGCCGCTACCAATTCGCCCGAACCGGACAGAACCGGCTGAACCCACCTCTGGTTTAGGGACCGCTTAAATTTACAACAACACTGAAAAAAACCCAGCCTATTTTCACATTTATGAACAGTGACCCAGGGATCACGTGATCAAAATTTGGGCACTTGACAACTGGCATGTATTACACCTGTGGGAAGCCCCAACCCCTCCCTTCCTAGAAATAGTTTGGAAAATATTAAAGAGGCAGAATAGAATATTTCCCCTAAAGGGGAAATGGAAAATTATGCTCTTAAAGCAGGGGTTCCCAACCAGGGGGGTGTGAGACGATATTCCAGGGGGTGCAAAAAGCTGGGTTTAGAAGTTTCAAAGTGATAGTGTATATGTATAGTTATATGCATATAATTAATTATTTTTAAAGGGGTGTGAGAATATATCGGAAGCGTTCTAGGGGTGCGGGGTATAGAAAAGGTTGGGAACTCTTGTCTTAAATGGAAGAAAGCAGACCCAGTCTTTCTTAAAAGACAAAAAAAAAAAGTTCCAGAGGGAGGAAGCCACCACAGAGAAGGTGTTGTAGCTCGCCAGCGGATCTGGCAGCAGATTCGGAAAGTGAGGAGATTGGGGAGGAACATGGGCCAGTCCTGGAGTCTGGGGAAGGCTCTGGTGAGGGCTCTGTGTCGGAGGCAGAGAGGGGGCCAAGGTCGTCTGACAGTTGTCAGCTGCCTTCGGAGTCGGACATTAGTGGGGCAGAAGAAAAGCTGGAGTCTGTTCCCGATGTGCGCATGCGCAGAGCTGCCAGGAGAAGGGAACAGGAGGAACAAGGGTCGACTCAGGAGTAAAGCCACAGGTGGACGGTGAATGGCCCCTCCCAGAGGGAATAAAAGAGGAGCGAAAGGGGAGGGGAGTTTGCAGGAGACAATTAGTTGACTTAATTTGTTTGTGACTCTCAGAAAACTTCTTGCCAAGTTTTGAAGATATCGGCCTGGCAGCTGTCCAAGCCAGATAAGGTCTGTGACTGTAAAGTCTCCCTTGAAAGATGTTGCTGGATGTGAATGAGAGGAATTCACAGTAACTTAATAAAAAGGGGTTTTTGTCGGGACAAGGAGTCTGCTTCCTGCTCTTGGGAAGCCTAGGTCAGAACAAGTCAGACTCCTTTGGGTCCTGCCAGATTTACCTCTTTAGGGGACGGGACCCACAACATTCCTTCCCTCCCCACTCTAGTGAGTCTGGTGGATGTGACTGGCAAAGAGACGGTCCTTCAGCTAGCCTGGTCCCTGGTTCCCCCGCCCATGCGGAAGATTCGCGGTGTTCATTTTGGCATCCTTTGCCGTAACGCTGGTTGACTCGGGCCATGCTTGTCGAGTGAAGCCGCCTCTGGGCAGAGCGGAGTCGTCGGTAGCAGAACGGCGTAGCCAAACGTTTGGCAAGGCTGGTCCTTGGAGAAGAAGATGCTTGTCGTCTTCCATATCAAATAGCATAAAAAAAAATTAAAATAAAAATCTGTGGGCTGGCAAGATGTTAAATTAATGCATCTTCAGCCTTCCTTCCCACAAAGCAATTTAGTTGACAAAGGAGGGAAGAGGCAGCCCGGCTAAGGTGAAAGTTCAAACATATTTTGGGAGTTTGATTTAAGAGTCCGTTTGTTTGCTTTTTAATAATGTCACCCATGCCATCGTTAAGTCTGTGCCTTTCCTTTTTTTTCAAGTTTTATGCCTTGGGTATGCATCCGCTCATCCAAGTTGTGTGTGTACCATCACAGCCCAAGGCTCAGAATATCTGCTAACTTCCAAGTCTCCGTCTTTGATTCACTTTGACATGCTACTTTTGGCTAAAATGAAATCGGGCAATTTGTGTTTTAGTGTTGGAAACGCCAAAAAATTGTCTTGGGTGAAAACAGGCTAGGACAGACAGTGCTGAACAGGTACGCGCTTTGCGTGTGTGTGCGTGCTGTCCGCGCTAACGCACAGCTCCTCCCTGTGTGCTGTGCATGCAACTGCACCATCTGCGCATCTGCGCAATATTCCTGCGGCTCCCCTCATGCGCTGAACGTGCAATCGCACCAGCTGCACACGCATGCATGCGGCATTCGTGTCGCTCCACATGCGCTGCATGTGCAACCACGCCATCTGTGCATGCACGCTGCATTCGCGTGGTTCCCCCCGTGCGCTGCGCACGCAATCGCATCATCTGCGCATGGGCCCGGTTTTCACGCGTGCAATGCATGTAAGTACTCTCATACGCATCTGGAAACCGGTGCGCATGCGCAGGAGAGCTCTGAAGACCAGCTGGGTCCCCTGAATCGTGTGCATGTACACCGGAGGCCCAAACGCCAGCTGGGGCATGCGCGCATGCACAGCTGACAGTTCGCGTGGCTGGAAAGATGGCTCTGGGTACCACCTCAGGCATACATGCCATAGGTTCGCCATCATGGGGCTAGGATATTATGCTGTAATCTACTTTATTTGTTTGATCAAAAGACTTCATGTGGACTTACAAAAATACAGGCAGCCCTCAACTTACGACCACAACTGACCCCCAAAATTTATGTTGCGAAGTGAAAAATTTGTTAAGTGAGTTTTGCTCCCTTTTACAACCTTTCTTGCTGGGGCAGAAAAGTCACTAAGCGAAGGGTTGTAAGTCAGGGGCAACCTGTACAGATTCCCAAAGGATTCTGAAAGGAATTCCAGCCAGCTTTTCCCAATCCAATGTGTTTTACTTAACCCTTGTTCTTCCTATGTAATATGAATTTTAAGGGTGGCATCCCTCACGATCTACCATTACCCGTCTTCCGATTCAGCCTCTCTCTTTCCCGAGAAATGTCAGAGCTCTCCCTAAAACCTAGCTGTAACCCCCCCACCGTGTGCTTCACTCCCCCCCCCTTTTATTTCGACAGACTCTTAGAAATGTCACTTCATGGGTTTAAAAGAAAATCATACCTTTCTCTTTCTCTTTCTCTGTTTCTCTCCCTCTCCTCTTGTTTTTTTTGTTGTTGTTGTTGTTTTTGTTTTTGTGTGTCTTTTTCTCTTCTTCAATCAACACCAGCCTCCTTTTGCTCCACTCCATGCTACGAGTCTCCGTCCTTTCAGGCCGACATCTCATGCCACTCTCTGGGACCTAACCTAGAGTAAATCTTGGCCCCGGCCAGGGTTGGGGGGAGCCATGGGCAGTTCAGCCTCATCGCTGGCCGCCGAGACGGAGTCGGACCATGGCTTTACTGGCCCAACCTATCCTGGGCATCTGGCAGCAAGCTGGTATAGAAGTAACCATGGTGGCCCCGTTTGGGACAGTGCCCTTATAACACGGCAACATCCGCACGTGAATCACCGGGCACGAAGGTAAGAGAAAGCTGGGGAAGGAGCTTGGTTTGGTCTCGGCTCAGTTGAAAAGCGGGGAGGGGCTGGGTGGATGTGTTTCCAACTGCAGCCCCATGAGAGGCCATGGAAGAACTGCCAACCCGGCTGCACGACTCAGCTGGAGGCATCTGGGAATGCGCTATGTGTTCATGTGCATGATAGTTAACGCTGGCTGTTTGTGGCATGAGACGTTGGGTTGGGGTTGCTGGAAGAAATGCCCATCTGGTTCAGTTCCAAGCTGAACCAGCTTGGAGAAAGAAACCGGGAGAAAGAAACATGGAGGCTGATGGGAAAGATGGTTTAACGATGAAGCAGAACCACCGAGCACGTTGGTCCTGGTGCAGCTGACCACATGGAGTTGAGAGGGGGGGATATTTACACCTTCTCTTGGGCTTTGCGCTTGAGCTTCCTGTTCCTGCGTAAGAGCACATATTCTATTGGCCTGTGGTCAGACTCCCACGGGTCCATGTACAAATCCTAGGAGTTTGTCTGAGACAAGCTTGGTTGAAGTTTGGGCTGATGCAATGAAGTGGCTTGTTGGGCAATTCCTATTGTGGCTGAGGGGGCTAACCCTACCTTTGTTCAGACCTTGCTGCAGGAAACTTGCTCATGAATAAAGCTATCTGTCTCTTTATCTCTTAAGTGCTGACATCTGCTGAGGGCCATCAAGATAAGCGGGGGCTGCTTTCTGTCTCCCAAGAGCATGATTCACAATTTCTCATCCAGGGAAATATAATATTCTGCCTTTTTAAAAAAAAATCTCAAAATATTTCGTGCTACTGACCGAGGTGCTGGTTTTGTAGATGTCAATACAGGTAGTCCTTGACTACCAATCCATTCGTGTAGCTACAGGTAGTTCTCGGCTTACGATACAACAGTTCGTTTAAAGTTACAACGGCACTGAAAAAAACGTGACTTGTGGCCGTTTTTCACACTTACGACCACTGCAAGCATCGCCGCAGGTAGTTCTGAGGTTCCCCCAGGGGTGAAATCCAGCAGGTTCTGACAGGTTCTGGAGAACCGGTAGCGGAAATTTTGAGTAGTTCGGAGAACCGGCAAATATCATCTCTGGCTGGTCCCAGAGTAGGGTGGGAATGGAGATTTTGCAGTATTCTTCCCCCAGGAGTGGGGAGGGAATGGGGATTTTGCAGTATCCTTCCCCCAGGAGTGGGTTGGGAATGGAGATTTTGCAGTATCCTTCCCCTGCCACGCTCACCAAGCCACACCATGCCCACAGAACCAGTAGTAAAAAAAAAATGGAATTTCACCACTGGGTTCCCTTCTTATCTACACATGACATCCTGGTGAAAAATATGCCTAGAAAAGGTGGCAATAAGATTTCACCTGTCTTGAATAGTTTCCGTGTTTTATATTAAATTAATTGGCCAGATCACACCTCTTTGTTTTCAACCCAAGCGCCTCCTGTATCCATAATCTAAGGTTAAATATTGAGACAGAGAAAAATTGAATGGCTATTAAGGTGTTATCTTCAGCTCGGCTGATTCTATAGATACAGGCCTGTTTCATGCTGCTTGAAAAAGTGTGTTTCTGCTCGCCGGCATTAACACAATAAGAGGGTAAAATCCGAGCTTAGTTTAAAGTCCCCCTTCGGAAACGTCATCAACCGGTCACTGTAAATCTTCTTATTGGTGGCCTTTTGCCCTTTTAGAAACAGCAGGACACTTGTTTCTCACCTTAGGTTTATCCCATTTTCTAAATTAATTAATTAATTAATTAATTAATTAATTAATTAATTTTATTTATTATTTTATTTATTGAATTTGTATACCGCCCTACTCCCGAAGGACTCAGGGCGGTGAACAGCCAAATAAAATACATATAATACAAATGTTAAAAAAACCATTAAAATACAATTAAATAATTGGCCTGGAAAATGAAATTTATAACACCCTTTATCTATCTATCTATCTATCTATCTATCTATCTATCTATCTATCTATCTATCTATCTATTCTATCTATATCTATCTATCTATCTATCTCTATCTATCTCTCTCTCTCTCTCCTCTCTCTCTCTCTCTCTCTCTCTCTATCTATCTATCTATCTATCTATCTATCTATCTATCTATCTATCTATTTATTAAATTTATAATAAATCCGGAGACTCAATTGCCCTAAACTTTTATCTCTTAGCTGGAAATCCCAAAGGTGCTTTTTTCAGGAGGCGACTGGACTTCCTTGTTCTCTTCTTTTGAAGATGTTTTGCTTCTCATCCAAGAAGCTTCTTCACCTCTGACTGGATGGCGGGGAATGGAAGGATTGATACTCCTTGCAGACAGCTGGTCATTTGCATCCTTTTTAGAGGGTCATTGAAACACTTGGAGGTTTAGCTGTGCAGGGTCACCTGAGTTAGTGCTTCTGGTTCCTGTAGTCTGCAATTTTTCCCTTTGGAAATCCGTTCCTACTCCCACGCCATTCAAAGGGTGTTCATCCCAAATTCCATAGCTAAAAGTCCATGACCTGGATGACTGAGAAACTCTACAGCAGGGGTCCCCAAACCTGGCAGCTTTAAGACTTGTGGACTTCAACTCCCAGAATTCTCCAGCCAGCTAGTTGAAGTCCACAAGTCTTAAAGCTGTCAAGTTTGAAGACCTCTGCTCTACAAACTCTTAGCTGGAGAATACATTTCCTGATTGCAATGTATGGCTGTGAAAGTTGGACCATAAGGAAGGCTGAGCGCCAAAGAATGGAGGCCTTTGAACTCTGGTGCTGGAGAAGACTCCTGCGAGTCCCTTGGACTGCAAGGCGATCCAACCGATCAGTCCTAGAGGAGATCAACCCTGATGGCTCTTTAGAAGGCCAGATCCTGAAGAGGAAACTCAAATATTTTGGCCACCTAATGAGAAGGAAGGTCACACTGGAGAAGAGCCTAATGCTGGGAAAGATTGAGGGCAAAAGAAGAAAGGGACGACAGAGAAGGAAGTGGCTGGATGGAGTCACTGAAGCAGTCGGTGTGAGCTTAAATGGACTCCAGGGGATGGTAGAGGACAGAAAGGCCTGGAGGAATGTTGTCCATGGGGTCACGACGGGTCGGACATGACTTCGCAACTAACAACAACATTTCCTGAGCCCAGATTTACCCACTGGGGAGATACAGAATGTGCTTAGATAATTCTTAATATCTAGAGCGGGGACGTCCAACCTTGGCGACTTTCAGACCTGTGGACTTCGACTCCCAGAATTCCCCAACAAGCATGGGAATTCTGGGCGTTGAATTCTGGGAGTTGAAGTCCAAACGTTGCCACGGTTGCCCATCCCTGATCTAGAGGGACTGATTTCACCGTCCCCGTAGCCATCAAGCCGGAGTCATGGAGATCGTAGCCACAAATTCCCGATTTTCTCTCTATTTCCTGATTTCTTTCCTCGGCCGTGAAGGTTACTCGTGAGAACTATAAAATACATGCCCGCCCCCTCGTTTTTTCCCCAGCATCAATTAAAATTTGCCTTCCTCTGGAAAAGGGTTAAGAGGGATGACAGTCTGTGTTTGTAACCTTTTTGTGGGTTGAGAATTATATGGACAGGAACTAGCGATGTTTTAACCAAAAGAAAGAAGGGGGGAGAGGGATGGGGGGAAATGAAGGGTGTTGAAATCTGCCATGTTGCGTGCTAAGAATATTGCAGTTTATGATTAATTCCGGCTTTTTATAGCTTTTTCGACTTGTGGAAGCGCCATGTGCCTTTCTTAGTTTTGTATGCTGCCTTGCTGAAAAACAGTGAGTTTGCTCCTTCCTCTCTGAGCTGCCATGTCTTGGAAAATATTTGTGTGTGTGTGTGTGTATTTGTGTGTGTTTCTTTCTCTTGCTTGTTGCTATGATCCTTGAAGCATTTGTATGCGTCTACTATAACACGCAGACTTGGGGGAATCTTTCTGGGCAAGATGCTCCTGGTTTTTGTCTGTTGGCTTGTTTTCATTTTCAAGACTGACCTTGAAGTTTCTTCCAGAGTTTCTGTAAAGTTTTTTTGTTTCGTTTTGAGCATTTGTTCTTTTTAAATCAGGGGATCAGGAAGCATCGAATTCCGAATTCGATGCTTCCTGATCCCTCGATTTAAAAAGAACAAATAATACCGAAAACAAAACTCTGTTTTCACTTCGTGTGACTTTCTGTGTTGCTTCCCACTACGAGTTTTCTTCCTCGTTGTTTCTCCTTCTCCTCCTCCTCCTCCTCCTCCTCCTCCTCCTCCTCCTCCTCCTCCTCCTCCTCCTCCTCCTCCTCCTCCTCCTCCTCCTCCCTCTCCCTCTCCCTCTCCTTCTCCTTCTCCTTCTCCTTCTCCTTCTCCTTCTCCTTCTATTTATTTATTTATTTCATTTGTCAAGAACATATTTGGTAATAAGTATAAGCATGGATTGGATACATAAAATAGGTACAAATAAAAGAAAACATTAGGTCAGGGACGGTAGGCACGCTAGTGCTCTTATGCACGCCCCTTACAGACCTCTTAGGAATGGGGTGAGGTCAACAGTAGACAGTTTAAGGTTAAAGTTTTTGGGGTTTGGGGAAGAAACTACAGAGTCAGGTAGTGCATTCCAGGCATTGACCACTCTGTTGCTAAAGTTGTATTTTCTGCATTCGAGTTTGGAGCAGTTTACCTTAAGTTTGTATCTATTGTGTGCTATTTGTATCTATTGTTTGTATCTATTGTGTATTCTATTCTTGTATTGTTGTGGTTGAAGTTGAAGTAGTCCTCCTCCTCCTCCTCCTCCTCCTCCTCCCCTCCTCTCCCTCCTCCTCCTCCTCCTCCTCCTCCTCCTCCTCCTCCTCCTCCTCCTTCTTCTTCTTCTTCTTTTTTTTAATTTGATTTATATGCCACCCTTCTCCGAAGACTCAGGGCGGCTTACAATGTGCTAAGCAATAGCCTTCATCCTTTTGTATATTTTATACAAAGTCAGCTTATTGCCCCCACAACTGGGTCCTCATTTCACCTACCTTAGAAAGGATGGAAGGCTGAGTCAACCTTGAGCCT